GAGTAATACAACTAGACAGGGGTAAGAGAGCAATGTAACAAGACAGTGGTAAGAGAGCAATGTAACAAGACAGGGGTAAGAGAGCAATGTAACAAGACAGGGGTAAGAGAGCAGTACAATTAGACAGGGGTAAGAGGTCTATATCAATAGACTTTGCCTGAAAGTACTTATATAAAGGGGTAGAGGGAAAATGTAGTTCACTAGAAAAGTGAAGAGCTTCTATTTTGAAATCTCACAGGAAGCTGATGTCACTATGTCACAACATTAGACTCAGTTAACACTAGATGACAATTTGTTTTGTGTGGGGTAGTTCATCTGCTTATGTTAGAGCGTCTAGCTTTTGTCATAGATCAGGCCTGCACAACACACGGTCCGCGGGTTGCATGCGGCCCGCCAACACCCACTTTACGGCCCGCGAAGTAACGAAACATTCTTTCTTCTTATTATTTTCTTGATAGCTTTCCCCCGTCCTATTTATTTTCGGTCGGCACAGGTTTTTCATAAAGTTTTCGGCCGGCCGTACATTTTTATTTGTGCAGGCCTGTTATATATCATTTTATTGACCATAGTTATGTTAGAAAGTCTAGCTTTTGGTATATCCTTGTTATGTAGCACACTTTTTCCGTGCGTGAACTTTACTTGACCTAAATTAGAATCCTAGCAGACAGTAACGTCTGTTCTGGGCGTGGGCTATTCGTTTGATGTAGCTTGTTTACAACCGTGTTTACCAATTAAACATTTTAGACTGTCTTCCTGTTATTTTCTCAAATGTGCTCGATAACCCGAGAAATGTAAACAACACGTCATAAGTCTTTTCTGGAAGGCAGGGCTTACGTGACCTATATAAGGGATTGACAGGCACGGACGGAGGAACGGAGATTCAGATAGATATTATTAACTTTACGAGGCGTGTATTATTCTTTGTGTATTTGTGTGCTCATACTCATATGTGTTTATTTCGCATTTCATCATTATTCATTGGCACATTATACTAACTGTGTTAACTGTGTACCGGTACAAGATCTACCATACTGTAAGATTTATAATTATATTTCTTTTGTTTTGTTATTGTTTTAATAATTAATAAATCTTAACTAATTGTAACTGGCAACTGTTTTGGGTGTCGTACCTTTAATATTGTTGACTCCTTTGTTAGGCACTGTTTACAACGAGCCAATAAAATTAAAATTGGAGATTAATTTCTCATCTTAGAAGCCTGTGTGTAACAATCCTTTTATGGACCATAATTATGTCTATCTTTTTTTGTCAAAGGGTATTTAAAAAAAGATAAAGTTATAGTGATTCATTACTTTATGATATGTGTGTGGTTCATTGTCACAGATGTTAGATGTCACGTTTTCCCGATCTGCCTATTAACATCGTCATGTCTTAAAGAAAGTATTTTTTTTTTTTTAAATAGTTCCTCTAAGTGGCCTGTGATGAGATCAGGTCTGGACCATGTGTGTAGTAAGCATACCTTTATAGAAGGTACCCCCATCCCGCTTTTATGTTTCAGTTGTTTCCCTTCCATTACATATCGGTCACGCTCGGTCCAGCTGGAACAACGCATTCAACCGCGTCAGCGACTCATCTCAGTGGCCCACCCTCAACGTGCGCATTGAGTGAGTTGACAAAAATGGGCTTTTGTTCAAGTTTGCTCAAATTATCTAATATTTCCGCCTTTATTGAATACACGATCGTTGCAAACAGATAGGCTCGTTTCATTCTAATGAAATTGATGGGCGACTTCTGTTCAATGACATATAGGTGATGCACAAGTGTTCTATTTCTTTTAGTTCAGCTCTTTCCCATTCCCTTATTTTGTTTCCTGCACATATTTATGGCTTTCCTTATGGCTCCATTGTATATTTTTATTGTTTTTCTGGTTGCCTTTGTATCATCGTCCTTCGTCCCTTGTCTGCATTCATTATCGAAACAAACTACTTTACTGTTAGCTTGCTCAAAATCCTACTACTTTTTCTGATGATTTTTTATACAAAAATCATATCCTACTGCTCATTTATGTTGTCTTCCCTCCTGTAATGCTTCTATTTTTGCTTGTACTTCACTTTGGTAAGCTTTTGTAATGAATTGGTCTTTGGTAAGCTTTTTTGATGAGTGGGTCTTTGGCAAGCTTTTGTGATGAGTGGGTCTTTGGTAAGCTTTTTTGATGAGTGGGTCTTTGGTAAGCTTTTGTGATGAGTGGGTCTCTGGTAAACTTTTGTGATTAGTGGGTATTTGTTTACTTTTTGTAATCATATCATGTTTTTCTTTGTTTCGGCCATTGTGTGTTTTGCTTGTTCTCTCCCCTTACATTTAACCCTTACAAGTCGGTGGCCAGAGTCCGCCTTTGCTCCTCGACAGTTCTTACGTCTCATCCATGCCTCCGACCGAGTAGAACAGGCCTACACAACAAACGGCCCGCGGGCCGCATGCAGCCCGCCAGCACTCAGTTTGCAGCCCGCGAGGTAACGAAATATTTTTTATTATTATCATTTTCTTAATAGCTCTCTCCCCCTCCTGTCCTATTATCTTTCGACCCCCTCAAGTTTTTCACAAAGTATTACGCCTCACCCTACATTTTGAGTTGTGCGAGCCTGGATTAGAACATGGCCAATTTGCTTGTGAGTGATTTCATCTGGTGAGTTCTTAATACCTTTTTTATATTTTTTTTTTGTATGGAAACTTGGTGTTTCTGTCATTCCCTTCCTGATTCCGTGAGTCAGATCCCATTGTCATTATATTTTCATGTAGATTCTCCTTGCCAATAGTTGGCATGAACACTGTCTTTTTCCTTCACTATGTCGTCATTAAAATTGCCAACTGCTATTTTAATATCATTTCTTGGTGCCTCATCATATATCTTTTCCAGCGTCTCATAAAAGGATTCTATTACCTGATCATTCTTCGGTTCTCTGATGAAAATTTTCAATCGCAAAGAGCACAATCTTTCATTCTCACCCATCATTAAAGAATGTGACGTGTTTTCTAACAGGGCCCCTATGCCATGAGTTAAATAATATGGTCTGCTTTCTAAGTTAAATAAGTTAAATATAAAAATGCCAAGTAATTGGCCGACTGTCCTTGACCGTTTCATTTGAGACATGATTTAACTTACGAGTCAGGCGAAACTTATCTGTCGCGTGGATTTAGACTTGGTCTGCTCCTGAGTTTAGGTGTTACTTTTTGTTATATATAACATACAAATTATAATTGTAATTATTACTTATGTTCTGAATTCTAAATAAATTTTGAGACACCTACCTGCAATTAGGAGCGAATCTGGAATTAATATATATATATATATTTATATATATACTATATATTGTGCACTCGATAAAAATCCAGCAGGAACTTTCCTGTTTTATACCTGTACCACGTGGATGAAATTCAAAATAAAATCATGAAAAAGCTCAAACAATTGAGTTAGAATTATTTGATTGAAAAGAAATGTGCACCGCATGTACGCTCGTTATGATGTCAATATTAAATAACTCCAACCACACCATCCATCAACTGTCAGAAAGAAGAAGCGAAAATTCACCGTTCTCTGTAGGACGTTTAGAATAAAATATGTCTGGGTCAAGACTGTTCGACCTAAGCAAGACGAACTCAGCTGTTCACAGGATGAGGTCAAACCAGGGAGGTTTCAAGGGAATTTTCTTGCTTAATTTTTTTTAACAACAAATAGTTTAAATCTATATTACATGAGGGACTGTTGTTTTTTTTTTCGTTTTTTCTTTCTTCTTTTCTTTTCAAGCTTAAAAATGGCCGATATTTTAATGAATATATTCCTTTGGGAAATTCTCGGTGGCCCTGACAGCTGTTTAGCGATACATTCTTTGCCTGACGTGCTTTTAACAAAAATCCTTTATTGTATCCTTCTTTTGTATCCTCCTTTTGTATCCTCCTTTTGTATCCTCCTTTTGTATCCTTCCTTTGCTTCAAGGCCTTCTCTATTTACCAGCTTTGGGTTAGCGAACTTTTGCTCTAAACCCCACCCCTCCAAAAATTTTTTTTTTTTTTAAATTATAATTTTAACACATTATAAACATTTGTTCATGTTTTAAATAAAAAGTAAGTATTTACCATTAAATCTAGTTCTTTCATTTCATCTTTTTAAAATTCATTTTAAATTCTTGGAGAAAATTTAAAATAACACTTTCAAATTCAATCATTAAGGGACTAAAGTCACAACAGTATGGTTGTAGGAGACTAAAGTCACAACAGTCTGGTTGTAGGGGACTAAAGTTACAACAATGTGGTTGTAGGGGACTAAAGTTACAACAATGTGGTTGTCGGGGGACTAAAATTACAACCATGTGGTTGTAGGCAACAGTAAAATTCAGCAGGTGTGTAGGCAGCTTCTGCCAAAGCCATACAGGTATTGGCCAAAGGTCAAAGCCAACAGCTTGTAAGTGAACATTCAAGAACAGCTATGATGTTAAATACTGCGTTAACTATGTACGTGTGTAGATATTATCTCGATTTTTCAGTGCGTTCACCTGCTGCTCGTATTCTTTTATAGTATAATTACTATTTCATAGGAAGGGTTCCTTTTTTTTTTAAGGTCATTTTAATTGTATTTTCTCGATAGTAATTTTCGTGCTTATTTTATTTGTATTTCCGAGATATTATCTTAGTGTGTAAATTTTTTTTACAGTATTTTCCATTGTGTTCGTTTGTTGATATAATGTGTTGGATAGTTGTTACTGTGCTTGAGTGTAGGATTGTATACTAATTTATTTACTATGTCATTGCACAGAAAGAACACTTCTAATAAACTATGAAACACACTCTTCACCTGTATGTATGTAGGTCAAACGTGTAACATCTGTTTGTGACCTTATTTTACCCGAATTATGTCCACATACGGTGCACATGCGATCCATAAACTTTGACTTACAAAATGCAAATGAAACAGTTATCTGAAAATGGCCTGAGTCGCTTCACAAATGAATGGGCATAAAGAAGAATTAATTTGAATTCAGAAACCCAATGCTTTACACTGTATCTTTTAATTTAAGCATATTTACAAATGTAACAAAGTTCCACCAGCGAGACTGTCTGAACAGAGAATGTCTGAACAGAGACTGCCTGAACAGAGACTGCCTGGACAGAGACTGTCTGAACAGAGACTGTCTTAACAGAGACTATCTGAACGTTTGAACTTAAAGGAATATAAAAGTCAAAAACATTGTAAGGGACAACACAGTCCACCTTAAGGTAAGGAGCAACACAGTCCAACACATTATAAGGGACAACACAGTCCAACACAATGTAAGGGACAACTCAGTCCAAATCAATGTAAGGGACAACTCAGTCCACCACAGTGTAAGGGACAATACAGTCCAACATAATGTAAGGGACAACACAGTCCGACATTATAAAAGACATTACAGTCCACCATAGTGTAAGGGACAACACAACCCACAGGGTGAGAGAGAAAGGTCAATATGTTAAAATAAATAAAACATGAGAATATCATTTTTAATTATATACACTGAACATCAAAGATAACATCAAAGATAACATCAAAGGTATTTGGCCGTTTTTATAAATTGTTACATGTACACGAAAAGTTAAGCATTTTTGATAATAATTATAACAAAGAAAAAATATTTTGTGGGTACATGACCGTATATTAAACTTTGTACATATAACTTTGTACATTATGGTATATAACACAGAAATATAAATTATCGAAAATGTTTATCACCACTGTTTTGTAGAATCAATTCAATCTAGATCTATCTAGAAACAACTGTCTAGATAAATAGCTCTTAATTTTGCCTAGAATCTAGATGTTAGCTAATGTATACCTATTAATGTCATTCTTTTATAAACCTACTTGCATGAGAAATCTAGGCATGCTGGATGCTGTGGCCAATGTAAATTGTCATAATCTGCTGTGCGATAGTAACAATGTATTCAGTAATAGAGTATTTCTTAAACTGCATGATCATGTCAGCCAAAGACATGATCACCAAACATAATTTAAGAAGCATAAAAAATCTTGAACAATCCAAAATTGCTGTGATGTTATAACAAGTACGTGTATTCTGTACAGACAGCTGTGATGTTATAACAAGTACATGTATTCTGTGCAGGCAGCTCTGATGTTATAACAAATACATGTATTATGTACAGGCAGCTGTGATGTTATAACAAATACATGTATCTGTACAGGCAGCTGTGATGTTATAACAAATACATGTATCTGTACAGGCAGCTGTGATGTTATAACAAATACATTTATTCTGTACAGGCAGCTGTGATGTTATAACAAATACATGTATTCTGTACAGGCAGCTGTAGTGTTTTAAAAAATACACGTATTCTTGCAAGCATCGGATTACACTGAGACAAGGTAATATTTTTACTCTTGATTATCTATTGACGTCCCACATAACATTTTGAATTACTCGATTAGTTTCACCAAGATCTACCTGAAACCCCTTTGATTCGCTTCACTCATCGGTCTCACCACGGTCTACTTTAATTCAGCACTCCCGCCTCACCTTGACTCCCTTCAATTCACTACTTCTCCATCTAGACTGTATGATTCACAGATTCATAACTACTGTGACCCACATCCAATTTCTTTATTTTGCTTTTATTATTCAGAGTACACGTTTTTGGTGATCAATATTTAAATTCTTTTTTAAAAATATGTTGCATTCTAGCGATAAAAAGTATCCGTTTTGTCACACACTACTAATTGGAGCAGTAGATCTATAGCTTCGTTAAGTCTACAGGTGCTTATTAAACAAATAAAAGATCAATATTACATATGGTTTTTTATTGAACAACAGCAGCGCCTTCTTACTTCTACTTTCTCTCTGCGGCTCTCTATCAAAAACCATAACAACGAACAACGTCATTTCCCAAGCCCAAATACGTAACACATAAAAAAGCGCATAGCTACACAATTAATCTCCACACCAGAACACGCACCCATTTGAACAAACACGCGTGTGACGTTTTCAACTAAAGTTCCCAAAGTTAGCTTTCGAACAAATTACATTTCCACTTGATCCAAAAAACCTCCCGTGATCAAGCTGGCTGTGTCTCTTGGAGTCTGCTAAAGGACACAGACGTGGATGTTGAAGTCGGGGGATTTCTCCCGCAGGCGTAAAGCAGCTTTTGGATAAGTTTACATTTCTCTGCCGCTTCTTCCCTGACATCTTTGTACACCAGCCATGACATTGGCACAAGGAACGACCTCGACAGGCTCACGGCCAGGCAAAAATAAATGGTCTCCATGGAAATGAAGTGAGAAATCCCGACAAAATTGAGCCACGTCTCCGTAATAAAGGGAAGAAAGCACAAGCAGTAGATCAGCATGGGCGTGGTACACAAAAGTGGATTATCCGCCGGCGGGTCCGGATCGGCGTCCTCAACGGCATCCACGTGGTTCATTTCACTGTACGTCACCAGGGTGGCCGACCGCCGTCTGCTGCAGCCGTGACAGTAGCACACGAGCGTGGTGATCAAGAAAGCCACGTTCAGGTAGTAGGGAAGGTGCATCGCGAAGAAGTTCATGACGATCAGGGCGTTCCTGGACAGGTTGGAAATGCAAAACACCTCGAACGTCTGCGGGTGCTCGAACGAGACGACGGACGACACAACCAGGGGCACCAGGATGCACGTGGCCGCCAGCCACGGCCACAGGAGGAGGATTTTACTGCACTTGGCGCATGCGCTGAACGCACGCTCCACAATCTCAAAGGGGAATCCGGAGTTACCTCTCTTGGTCGTGACAACGTTGAAGGTCACCAACGACCAGCCCACGATGAAAAAGACGCCAAAGTCGGAGATGATCTGAAAATAGAGGTCAAGGTCAACTCAAATCATTTCCTTAGGGGTGAATGTTATTCAAAACTTTTAAAGCCAATGATAGAAATTGTTTGGACCAGAAGACTGAGGATGTCAATATTTTAATTCTTATTTTTATGTGATCTGAATTTAATTTCTTTTCTTTAATGTTTATATTATTTTTTTATTTTTTTTGGTGGGGGCGGTTTGGGGGGGGGGGGTATGTAATACACAAGTAACCTCTATATGGAATGACAATAATATAGCCCCCAGGCTGGTGCGTTCCTTAGTCCTCTCGATTTTCCTGTATGCCTGCGAGTCCTGGAGATTAACAGCAGATCTTGAAAGGAAAATAAAGGCGATGGATATGAGATGCTTCAGAAGCATTTTTGGCATCTGCTATAGGGACCATATCTCCAATGACACAGTGAAAAAAAGGATTCTTCAGGCAATTGGGGAGTACGATGACCTACTGGTGACTGTGAAAAAATGCAAACTACAATGGCACGGCCACGTAACAAGGGAACAGGGCTTGCCAAAGAAATATTGCAGGGCACCACAAGAGGAGGGAGAAGAAGAGGAAGACCAAGAAAAAGATGGGAGGATAACATCAAAGCGTGGACAGGCCTAACACTGGGCTATGCTGTGCGTAGTGCAGAAGACAGAGACGAATGGAGGAGGATAGTTCACATGTCATCTGTTGCGGCCCAACGGTCCAAGGACTAAGGGACATGATGATGATGAACCTCTATGTTTAAAAAAAACCCCACGAAAATCACTCTAATTATTTTAAAAAATTGTGTCACTTTTCTTAGAAATTAACTTTAATCTACTTGAATACGTTATTTAATCCTCCTCTGCAGATAACTTCAATATTTCCTAAAATGGTCATTTTAAAATATTCGCGAGGTATGTTAGAGCATTCCAAATGGTCAGGATTTTCACCTGGCCTGCCCCACTTTCAAGAAATGTTTAATGGCTGGTCTCAATACCGATGTTTCGTAAGCTGCCTTAAACGTGTTGGATCAAAAGGGATGTTTCATCTTTCTCCTGTATGGTTTGGAAGGGCTGTTCATGTTCTGGTGGGTGGACATTCTTGTGATGTTGAACAGAAAGAAACCTATTCTTTGTTTACTAAGCCTTGTGTCGGTAACTAAGAAAAGTTGTCATCTATCCCTTGTGTCGGTAACTAAGCCAAGTTGTCATCTATCCCTTGTGTCGGTAACTAAGCCAAGTTGTCATCTATCCCTTGTGTCGGTAACTAAGCCAAGTTGTCATCTATCCCTTGTGTCGGTAACTAAGCCAAGTTGTCATCTATCCCTTGTGTCGGTAACTAAGCCAAGTTGTCATCTATCCCTTGTGTCGGTAACTAAGCCAAGTTGTCATCTATCCCTTGTGTCGGTAACTAAGCCAAGTTGTCATCTATCCCTTGTGTCGGTAACTAAGCCAAGTTGTCATCTATCCCGTGTGTCGGTAACTAAGCCAAGTTGTCATCTATCCCGTGTGTCGGTAACTAAGCCAAGTTGTCATCTATCCCGTGTGTCGGTAACTAAGCCAAGTTGGCATCTATCCCGTGTGTCGGTAACTAAGCCAAGTTGTCATCTATCCCGTGTGTCGGTAACTAAGCCAAGTTGTCATCTATCCTTTGTGTCGGTAACTAAGCCAAGTTGTCATCTATAACTTGTTTCGGTAACTAAGAAAAATTTTCATCTATTCCTTGTGTCGGTAACTAAGCCAAGTTGTCATCTATCCCGTGTGTCGGTAACTAAGCCGAGTTTTCATCTATCCTTTGTGTCGGTAACTAAGCCAAGTTGTCATCTATCCCTTGTGTCGGTAACTAAGCCAAGTTGTCATCTATCCCTTGTGTCGGTAACTAAGCCAAGTTGTCATCTATCCCGTGTGTCGGTAACTAAGCCAAGTTGTCATCTATCCCGTGTGTCGGTAACTAAGCCAAGTTGTCATCTATCCCGTGTGTCGGTAACTAAGCCAAGTTGGCATCTATCCCGAGTGTCGGTAACTAAGCCAAGTTGGCATATATCCCGTGTGTCGGTAACTAAGCCAAGTTGTCATCTATCCCGTGTGTCGGTAACTAAGCCAAGTTGGCATCTATCCCTTGTGTCGGTAACTAAGCCAAGTTGTCATATATCCCGTGTGTCGGTAACTAAGCCAATTTGTCATCTATCCCGTGTGTCGGTAACTAAGCCAAGTTGTCATCTATCCCGTGTGTCGGTAACTAAGCCAAGTTGTCATCTATCCCTTGTGTCGGTAACTAAGCCAAGTTGGCATCTATCCCGTGTGTCGGATACTAAGTCAAGTTGTCATCTATCCCTTGTGTCGGTAACTAAGCCAAGTTGTCATCTATCCCGTGTGTCGGCAACTAAGCCAAGTTGTCATCTATCCCGTGTGTCGGTAACTGAGTGTAGTTTTCATCTATCCCGTGTGTTGTTAATCAAACCAATTGAAGTTGTCCTGTCTGCTGAAGAATACTCTTAACTGAAACGTTTTTCTTTTTATTGTCCTGTCTTTCTATTTCAAGCTTCCACACAAACCTTATTCCCCTATTTCGCTCGCACAGCTTGAACGCAGTCCTTCATTTATTATCTTTTAATGTGCTTAAATCATTGTACTAGAAAATATTGATTATGGCCTTAAAGTAGGCTATCTAAAGCTGTGTCAGAGAGCGAGCAGAGAACACATGTCAGAGAGGCCAATCATAATAAAACAATTTGCACATATTTAAAAAAAAAAGACATGACAACATAATTGACTCTGACATTTGTAGAGGAGTGATTCGTTGTAAATTGTTCTTTGTTATGGTTAGTGTCAAGGTATATGTATATTAAAGTTATGCAAGTTTGTTATAAAATAAAAGTTCGCATGTAAAATGTGATAGGTCCATACCAAAAAGTTAATTGTTCATGCAATAAATGCCATGGTCAGAGTAATAAACTCAATGTCAAGGTCAATGAAATACATGTTAGTGTAGGACTTTTTTTTTTCTAATGATCTTTGGACTAACTTCTAAGGCGATGTTCTCAGTGCAGTCCATTGTGTGCTGTTCAATCAGGTGTCGCAAGTAGACTGGTATGGCGAAGCAACCCATGAGCAGGTCAGACACTGCAATACTGACCACGACAATGTACTTGGGCATGCATCGTAGGCTGCGAGAGTAGAGGATGATGTACAAGATGATCAGGTTAGAGGCGATGATCAGAATGCTGGACGTGACAAAGATGGCAATCAGAGGTTGGATGTACCTCTCCATGGCGTCTGATACTACTAATGTAGGTCAACCTGGATGGGATAGACGGATCAAATAAATTCATGTATAATTTGAATATCAGTTCATAATACACAAGAAATCAATTTCGTTGATACATTTTAAATAGATTTCAGGACAGAGGTATGCATTAACACTCAAATTTGTGATGAACGTTTGGTAAAGAGATGACATCATGACAGAGCTATAACATAATCTTGAGGTGAACGTTTGGCAAGGACATGACATCATGACAGAGCTATAACATAATCTTGAGGTGAACGTTTGGTAAGGAGATGACATCATGACAGAGCTATAACATAATCTTGAGTGAACGTTTGGCAAGGACATGACATCATGACAGAGCTATAATATAATCTTGAGGTGAACGTTTGGTAAGGAGATGACATCATGACAGAGCTATAACATAATCTTGAGATGAACGTTTGGCAAGGACATGACATCATGACAGAGCTATAACATAATCTTGAGGTGAACGTTTGGTAAGGAGATGACATCATGACAGAGTTATAACATAATCTTGAGATGAACGTTTGGCAAGGACATGACATCATGACAGAGTTATAACATAATCTTGAGATGAACGTTTGGTAAGGACATGACATCATGACCGATTTATACCATACTCTTGAGATTAACGTTGTTAAGGGCATGACAGAGCTATAACATAATCTTGAGATGAACGTTTGGCAAGGACATGGCATCGTGACAGATGTATAATACAACACTCAATCTTGAGATAGCCAACGTAGATGTACGAATAGCACGCGAATAGCAGTAAAGGATTTAGTTTGAAATGTGTGCCAGTAAGTTTATGTCTTTTCAGATGTTTGCATGTAATGCATTTTAACATGACATGTACAGGCGTGTCTAGTTCATTAACCTGTGTTCTGATTTTGAATAGTTAGAGAACAGGCCAGGAGAGAGGGAGAAGGACAGACGGAGAAAGAATGCGAAGAGAGAGAGAGAGGGGGGGGGGAGAAAGGAAAATGGAAAGAGAAAGAGAAGGCAAGACAGGCAGGTGGAGGTGGGATACAAAATCTGGACCATTTAATGCACTGTTAGGGGCCGTCCATAAAGTACGTCACGCTGCAGATGGGGGGGGGGGGGGGGTGTAAGAAAGTGTGACAGTTTTTGACAGGGGGGAGGGGGGAGGGGTATAAGAAAGTGTGACAGTTTTTGACAGGGCGGAGGGGGGTCAGGCCATGTGTGATGTCACAAATTAAAAAAAAAAGTATTTCTAATTTATTTTTTATTTTTTTAGTAGAATTTAATAGCTTTAAAAATAATTTTATAAAATTTTGTGAAACATTCGAATTAGTTTTATGTCAAAATAGCATGAAATGCGTATCTCCTGAATGTGTTGTTCACGATTCCTCTCGCTAGTAGCGCTAGTATGCTGTTGCGAAGCCTTGTTTTATGTATAGCCTTGCTTTCGTCTTTCCTGAAGTGTTATTATTTCTATATTGTCCGCTGCATAATTATGTCACTGTCCTTTTTATTATTTAATCACTGGGTGAGGTCAAGTTTCGCTAATCTACTTCTTAACCTGTGTAAAAAGATTGCACAATCGGAAGATTTTCTAAAACTTAATCTCCCCTATTATAAATGAATGGGTAGATAAATGATGTGTATTTTATAATTGTCTAGCCTAATGTTTGCAATTTCTGTTTTCAAATTCAATCTAAATTGAGTTACTGCTGCAATGAATAACTGTGACAACTTTTGACAATTAACTATTCTACTATTAAAGTCATTTTAATAATGTGATAGTTCTTTTATTTGTAAATTTTTATATTTTAACACTGTTTAATAGTGAAGTGTGTTTTAGATAAAATTTTAATTAGGTGTTAATTTTTTTTTAAAAATTTGTTCGAAAGTATGACGTACTTTAGGGGGGAGGGGTCCGAGATTTGTAACAGTTTGTGACATGGGGGAGGGGGGAGATAAAAATTATCAAAAATAGCGTGGCGTACTTTATGCCCGGCCCCTTATTGATGGTCGGATTGTTCAAGAAAGGCTAAGAACAATTAGACAAGTACAATGATATTTATATAACAAAAAAAGTTGTGACAGTTGTGAGGAATCGATTTCTTTATTTTGTTGTCATCCACACACCTAGTGGTTCTTTCAATGTTTCATCCACACATCTTATTCTGACATCACACACTATGGAGCGTCTATGTGATTTTTGCGCATTTATTTTTTATCATTGAAAAGGGCGTATCAGTTTTCTATGTGCTTCAATAACTCTTTGACAGGCCAGAGGTCAAAGGTGAAACGCTGGCGAGTTTATTTGTGTTAAGATATGTACCGTAATGTCTTTGACGTATTCTCTGGGCATCTATGAACACTGTGAAGAAATCAAGATTCTATGCCCAACATTTCTATAGATAAATTGACCTACTTCTTATTAAGTTACCTTGACCGCCTCTGGCATTTGAATCATCGTGAACAATAAAAAAAATTTAGTAGGAATGAGAGAGAGTGTACTGGAGAGACGGAAATAACAGAAAGATTATAGGAGAGACGGAAATAACAGAAAGATTATAGGAGAGACGGGGATGGGATCAAGTTTATAGGAGAGACTGGAATGAGAGAAAGGTTATAGGAGAAACGGAAATGAGAGAAAGTTTAAAGGGGAGACGGAAATGAGAGAAAATTAAGAGGTGAGATGGAAATGAGAGAAAGTTTATAGGTGAGATGGAAATGAGAGAAAGTTTATAGGTGAGACGGAAATGAGAGAAAGGTTATAGGAGAAATGGTGATGAGAGAAAGTTTATAGAAGAGGCGGGAATGAAAGAAAGTTTATAGAAGAGACGGGAATGAGAGAAAGTTTATAGGAGAGACGGGAATGAGAGAAAGTTGAGAGAATGGGACAGGGACACAGTAGGAGTAGAGCATTTCAAAATATCGATTAATGTGATGAACACAGAAGATAACACCGGACGCCAATCTGAGGAAGAGGCGTTTGTTGTTTGTCGAGTATGTCACAGATCTCGTCGCCATTACTCATTAAAGTTTAATTTTTATGGATGTTGTCGTCATAGAAATGAAGATTTGAATTGTGTTTCAGCAGACTGGGGAGAAGTGTAGAAAAGAAATCGTTGAACAAGATTTGTTTAAGTCTGAACAACAACAACAACAACAACAACAATAACAGACATGACAGTTAGACAGACCTTTTGACTAGATGATTTTCTCTGCAGACAATACGATCATAAATTACAAATACATTTACACAAAAACAAACTGATGTGTTCCGAGATCTCAATAAAGTGAATGAAGCCAAACCTTCAGAGCAGGAAGTGCTCATCATTGTTGTTGTTAGAAACGGAAGTTGAGAAGGATTTTCGAATATATAGAAATTCTTTTTTTTTAAAAATAATATAACAAATATGACAAATCAGCCATTCAAAACAAATGGAGTAAGGAGAAGGTGAAGGGGATATAAAGGGGCAGCCAAGGGGCCGGGGGGGGGCACTTTTTTCTTTATATTGAGGGACGGCATTTTCAACCAACTGCAAAAGGGGGGCGGGGGGAGTGAAAAAAAGCCCAGCCCACCCGGGCCGTACCAAACCACAGCACTGAATGGAGGGGAGCTGCTGGAAGGTTGGAGCATCTTGGTACTCTGGAAATGAAAATGAGCCCAAGACTCATTTATGAGGTTCCCTTCAAGTAGTCAGAATTCGACAACGTCTCAATAAATGTGATAACACCAACTTGTCAATTTAAGACTAGGAATAAACAGAATAGTAGTAAAAAATATACAAGGTATCTTTTCTCACAGTTGTCATTTTCATGTGAGAAATACAAAGTTTTTTTAAATATCACTATACAAATCTACAACACATTTTTTCCTCAATCTATTTCAATGGGAATTCACTCAGTCAGTTGGTAACAATTTTTTTTTTTTTTTGGGGTGGGGGGGGGTATTTTTTAAATAAAGGAATGTGTTGTTGCAAGCTAAAATAATTTCACTGGGTGTTGCTGTAAAGTCTAAAAAAATGTACAATTTTTGACACTTGAAAAAAGTTGGTAACAATTTTTTTTTTTTTTTGGGGTGGGGGGGGGGTATTTTTTAAATAAAGGAATGTGTTGTTGCAAGCTACAATAATTTCACTGGGTGTTGCTGTAAAGTCTAAAAAAATGTCCAGTCTTTGACACTTGAAAACGTCCTCATAGCTTTAAATAAAATAAGCTTTTAAATTGCTGGTGTTATGGAGTAAAAAGCTTGTCCACTTTAAAACCTGTGCACTAAAGTAAGAGCAGAAAAAGATTGATTGTAAAAAGGAAATGGCTTTGCATGGTTAGATTTCTTCAAAATATTCCAACAAAGACAACAGTTCAGCAGATGTATAGTCATCTTAATCAATTTAACGAGGTCTGTTCAGCCCTGTTGAAATAAATAAATCTCGCGACTGGTTGAAGACTAGATTTCGACGATACAATCACAAAATAAACGATATAGAAAAAATACATTATTTTAATTTTGCTTTTGGGCTATGCTTTGCTTCTGAAACGCTCTACAAGATTTTGTTGCTACTGTATATGGCTACAACAGGGGAAGTTCATTAGTCTTGCTTCTGATTTCAAATAATATTTATATTTTTCTTTAAACATCTAGTGTTTTTAAAATTTGTATTTAACACAAAAATTGCAAGGACTGACAATGGATGCCACTGAATATTATTGATCAACGGAATCAAAACGCAGTGGTTGATATAACGTGTAGAAGGTGTGGGGGTGGGGGAGAAGGCATGGTAGTGGGAGGAGAAGGCATGGGGGATGGGAGGAGAAGGCATGGTAGTGGGAGGAGAAGGCATGGTAGTGAGAGGAGAAGGCATGGTAGTGGGATAAGAAGGCATGGTAGTGGGAGGAGAAGGCATGTAGTGGGAGGAGAAGGCATGGTAGTGGGAGGAGAAGGCATGGTAGTGGGAGTAGAAGTCATGGTAGTGGTAGGAGAAGGCATGGTTAGTGGGAGGAGAAGGCATGGTAGTGGGAGGAGAAGGCATGGTAATGGGAGGAGAAGTCATGTAGTGGGAGGAGAAGGTATGGTAGTGGGAGGAGAAGGCATGGTAGTGGGAGGAGAAGGCATGGTAGTGGGAGGAGAAGGCATGGTAGTGGGAGGAGAAGGCATGGTAGTGGGAGGAGAAGGCATGGCAGTGGGAGGAGAAGGCATGGTAGTGGGAGGAGAAGGCATGGTAGTGGGAGGAGAAGGCATGGGGGATGCTATACTATTAAACTGAGTCCCATAAAACAAAATCATTTTTATTTTACTTGTCAAAAATCGACTTAAGAGTTTTCTTTCATTATTATTTAAATCACCTCATCTCACATTACAGTCAATCTCTAGCAGTGTGTAAGGTAATGCTTCTGATGAATTATGACATCTGATGAAGTAGGGCTTCTGATAAAATAGGGCTTTTTGATGAATCGCGTAATGTAGGTCGTGTGATGACTCACGGTACGGTTAACAGGTGCTCATTAAACGTTAGGCCTCGGTATGTGGTACAAAATATCCTGATTAGTGGAAAGGAAACATTTGTAAAGGACATTTGAAAACTTGCTTAGGATATTTGGAAACTTGTTCAGGATATTCGGCAACTTGTTTGGGATATTTGGTAACTTCTGTTGTTGATCATAATTACTGACTCTAACTTAAAAGAATGTATTGTTAAGTCACAAAGCACACAATTTATTACATGTACAATTTACATATCGACATTGACTTTATGGTACTGGTTACCATAATTGCACATAGTTGACACATGGCGATCAGTTTGTAAGAGTACTGTGAACAAACTTGTAGATTCAATCATGACTAGGGACAATAAAATTCGATTATGACTAGGGACAATTAGATTCAATCATGACTATGGACAAATTAGATTCAGTCATAACTAGGAACAAAATAGATTCAATCATGACTAGGGACAAATTAGATTCAATCATAACTAGGAACAAATTAGATTCAATCAAAACTAGGGACAAATTAGATTCAATCATAAATAGGGACAATGCACATTCAATCATGACTAGGGACAATCTAGATTCAATCACTACTAGGGATAATTCACATTCAATCATGATTAAGGACAATTTAGAATCATTCATGACTAAGGACAATCTAGATCAATCATGCCTGACTCAAGGCAATGTACATAGAATCATGACTACCAATTTATTTATTTTTTTTAAATTTCATATGCCTACTTCTTCATGATAAGGAATACAAAGACATGAAACTAAACAATTCATTAGCCGGTGTCGGTTGGGATATGGACATTTTGAAATAGTTTTTTTTTCTTTATGACAGTACTCAACCTTTACTTAAATAAGTCCACTCAAACTTATGGTTAGACACCGTTACAAACTATTGTAATTTTTTATCCCAAAGTTAATAAGTTTTAAGATTTGGTTCGTGTTTTGAAAAATACGCAACAAAGGACTGAAAACCAGTATACAAATATAAACGAGACCAAAGCTAGGCATACTAACAATATTCAATTTAATTGTCTATTAAATTTAGGTTTTAAAAAAAAAAAAACATCATCGAACAGACAGAAATACAAACTCTATCAAATTACAACACAGTGAAAAGTACAATCGAAAGATACAAATATTAATTAAACATACACGTAAAGAGTGCAATCTCTTAAGTATATTCAGTCAGGCGAATGTCTAGGGAAAATAGCAAAACACTCTCCCGGCTGGGAAATATGCTGGCTTATTTATAGGGAAAACGTTGGAACCCTCCCGACTAAAGAAATTCTAGAATTCGTATCACCTGATTGGTTGAATACTTATATAGCGCTTGTATACACGCTTAATAGCATTGTTTAGAAAAAAAATAGAACGTATTCGAAAGAAAACAACCTTTTCCCAATCAAGCGAGGGAGTGAGGGGGTTGGCACAGTACCCTCACATTTTATCGGTGACACCAGTATCAAAATTAAAAAATGGGTGGGGGAGGAGCTGTGGACCCTAGGTAACGACACAGGCAGTAAGGCTACACTAGTAATGAAGGGTATTCTTCTGGTAGCATAATAGCCTACTGGAATCACAACAGCCTGCTGGTAGCACAATATCCTACAGGTAGCACAATAACGTACTAGTACCATTGTTCGAATGATGAGTTTGGGGGGGGGGGTGCAAGCATTACAGCTTGTGTTGTGGTTTACTGGGGAGGGGGGGCAATTTTAACAATGAAAATTTTAAATTCTCAAAAAAATCTGCTTTATCTAAAAAGTTAGATTTTCTATAAAGATATCCTGTGCCAAATGTACAATGTACTACAATGTATCTATATGAGAGTTCATTCATAGACATATTCAATATATGCACAATGTATTATGTCTTATACATTTAAGATGGAATTGGTAACAAAAATTAGTTATTGGTGCATTCAACATTTACAGAAGACACGTCCAACTGGACTATCTTTCGTAACAACATTTACATAAGATACACCAACTTGGCCTAAATTGTGTAACAACATTTACATAAGACACACCCACTTGGACTTAATTGTGTAACAACATTTATATAAGTTACACCCATTTGGACTAAGTTGTGTAACAGCATTTACATAAGACACACCCACTTGACCTAAATTGTGTGACAACATTTACATTAAACACACCCACTTGGACTAAGTCGTGTACAAACAAATCCGATACACCCACTTGGCCTAAATTGTGTGACAACATTTATATAAGACAAACCCCTTTTGGACTAAGTTGTGTAACAGCATTTACTTAAGACACACCAACGTGGCCTAAATTGTGTAAAAAGATTTACATCAGTTACACACACTTGGCCTAAATTGTGTAACAACAATTACATAAGACACACCCACTTGGCCTAAATTGTGTAACAACATTTACATAAGACACGCCCACTTGGAGTAAGTTCTGTAAAAACATTTACATAAGACTACCCACTTGGCCTATATTGTGTGACAACATTTACATAAGACACACCCACTTGGACGAAGTTGTGTAACAACAATTACATAAGACACACCCACTTGTCCTAATTGTGTAACAACATTTACATAAGACACACCCACTTGGCCTAATTGTGTAACAACATTTACATAAAACACACCCACTTGGGCAAAATTGTGTAACAGCATTTACATACGACACACCCAGTTGGCCTATATTGCGTGACATCTTTTACATAAAACACACCCACTTGGCCTAAATTGTGTGACAACATTTACATAAGACACACCCCTTTTGGACTAAGTTGTGTAACAGCATTTACTTAAGACACACCAACGTGGCCTAAATTGTGTAACAACATTTACATAAGACACACCCACTTGAACTTACGTATTGTAACAATATACAACATCAAAGAATATAGAACTAAAGGCTTTGCATAAAATCAAGGTTGGTTTTTACACGTAGAAGTCACAATATGATTGGCTAATAAATGCAGAGGTGCTACGACAGGTAAACAGGTTTTTCATCTTGGTGAAGGATTTAGGTAACAACTGAAGACTGCAAGATTTTAGAAAATTTTAGATAATGTAGCAACTGTTGTACCATGCCATAAGAATAACCCGGAAGTAATTCCCAACGAAGACAGATTGACCTGTTCCAGACATTAACTCCATCTGTCAAGTCCATAACTGACATAGCAGCACATCTGTCAAGTCCATAATTGACATTGCAGCACATCTGTCAAGTCCATAGTTGACTTGACAAAGCAGCCATTTCATTTAATTGTAAATCTCTCATTTTTCCCTTAATACACAACCTTTTTTCTTTTCACTTCCTTGAATATAATATAAATAATAAATAACATATTGTCTCGACTTTTCATTATTTATTAAAGAATGCGTTTGGCGAAACCTTGAACTCAGAGCACTTTGACGTTATTCTTAAGTTACACAATACCATTGCCACCAAAAGAATGTCTTTGTAATGTTAAAAAAAAGGTAAACGGTGTACGCATTAGTGGTGTCACGTCTCCTCGTCTTATCAATCTGCCACCTTAATAATCGATCTGTTCAAGACCTGATGTTTGATTAAATCATCATCGGTGTAGTAAATCCAAAAATTGATTTTAAAAACCAGCTAAAAAAATAATAAATCTTAGAAGTTTATATGTTGTATTCTTTGCTGTGTATTCTTTGCGTTCCACTCAATTTCTTTATCGGGTGTTTTGAAGAATATCATGAGTTATAAGCAGGTGTGGTTCAGCTGTTTTGAAGAGTATCATTAGATATAAGCAGGTGGGGTTCAGCTGTTTTGAAGTATAGCATGAGTTATAAGCAGTTTTGGTTTTAAATGAGATGTTTTGAAATGTAGGTCATTTTCAAAATGAACAGTTGAGACTAGCCGTTGTAAAAAGATATAGTAATATAGGCCTAGGGCCTAGCGTTCGGTGAATAGCTTTGACCACAGTAGCAAGGCTCAATCAAGTTATACATTTAAACTAACGCTTACACTTGGAAGGATTTTAATATCTATATATTTAAACATGCTCTCAAGATTCAAATGACAACTGCAGCATCCAGTCTACGAGGTCTAACCTAACTTTTCAATGTTTCGCTGATCATAAGCTGATTTATTTAGTTTTGGTTCAGTGGATGTTCTAGTTTTAGTATTCCATTTTCGTTTTCGTGTACGCACATACATTTTTGACCTTTGAACTAGTGCTCGCGCTTAACATATTGAAAGCAACTGGTCCCCAAATATTTCATTTCACCTCTGACTCAGTCAGATATTGAAGCACCACATCCCTCGTCTTTAAATCACATCTCAACACAATTTATCATCAGACAAGTAGCTGTCTATTCCAACAACAACTTTATATTCACCAGTCATCACATCTCAACACAATTTATCATCAGACAAGTAGCTGTCTATTCCAACAACAACCTTATATTCACCAGTCATCACATCTCAACACAATTTATCATCAGACAAGTAGCTGTCTATTCCAACAACAACTTTATATTCACCAGTCATCACATCTCAACACAGCTCACAACACTCTTTGCTGCCTGGTCCTACAACAACATTGTACTCACCAGTCATCACATCTCAACACAGCTCACAACACTCTTTGCTGCCTGACCAAACAACAACATTGTACTCACCAGTCATCACATCTCAACACAGCTCACAACACTCTTTGCTGCCTGATCAAACAACAAAATTGTACTCACCCGTCATCACATCTCAACACAATTTATCGCAACACACTTCGCTGCCTGGTCCAACCACAACATTCTACTTACCAGTCATCACATTTTAACACAATTTATCGCAACACACTTTGCTGCCTGATCAAACAACAACATTGTACTCACCAGTCATCGCAACTCAACACAATCCACAACACACTTTGCTGCCTGGTTCAACAACAACAACAACACACACACGATGTCTGGTTTAATCTTGGTATTGTACAGGAAACGCAGCGCCTGCCCCGCCAGGCTGAGATGACTGTATACATTGTTGGCCACAACCCAAGCCTGCCAAAGCTGGTACATGAACAGGGAAAGCAATGGGGGAAACACGGGGCAGAAGAGGAGGGCTACTCGGGTGCGTTCTGGAAGCGAGTTGATAAACTGCGGATTTAGGGGGGGGGGGGGTGTGGAACTAAATGAATTTCAACCTGTGTACATGTGGGGTGGCAGAAACACGATGGAGCCTTTATTAATTTACTTAAATGTACAAGTATTGCTAAACAATTTATATGTACAAACAATGGGGGAAACACGGGGCAGAAGAGGAGGGCTACTCGGGTGCGTTCTGGAAGCGAGTTGATAAACTGCGGATTTAGGGGGGGGGGGTGTGGAACTAAATGAATTTCAACCTGTGTACATGTGGGGTGGCAGAAACACGATGGAGCCTTTATTAATTTACTTAAATGTACAAGTATTGCTAAACAATTTATATGTACAAGTAATGGTAAACAATTTATATGTACAAGTAATGCTAAACAATTTATATGTACAAGTAATGCAAAAAAATTATATGTACAAGTAATGATAAACAATTTATATGTACAAGTAATGCTAAACAATTTATATGTACAATTAATGCTAAACAAATTACACGTATAAGTAATAGTAAAAAAATTACATGTGCAAGTAATACTAAACAAATTATATGTACAAGTAAGGCTAAACAAATTATATATACAAGTAATGCTAGACAAATTAAATGTAAAAGTAGTGCTAAACAAATTACATATACAAGTTTTACTAAACTGATTATTAAGCATCGGCGTAGCTAGGGTTGGTGTCACAAGGTGCTGTAAAATCACCCCCCTCGCCCCCCTCCCCTCCGTTCTTCCACGATGGATTTCTTCTTGTTGACTAAGTCCAAGGTATAACAATGACAAGAACAAAACGAAATTAATTAAAGGTCAGGCGGTAAATGTATTTAAGAACTGTTACAACGTTAAGAAATTATAGCTATTTTGACATTAAATTTACTGTATTAAAATTATCCCTTTCCTGAATTTCAGAGCTACACATCTGTCAAACTTTTGATTAAAATCAATATCCTTCACCGTATCACTTTCAATGGACAGTAGATCCAGATCAGAATGCCTTGACCGTCCAGTGGTGGGTCGTAAATAGTTTTTTGATAAACTTTAGTTTAAGAGAGTTCCGCTAAATGAAGCCACAGAAAGAGTTTTGGGGGAGATTCAAGAAATTCCCATTTAGCTATGAATTTCAAATCTTCAAATACTGACCACTTCATGAGACCATGACTTTGTGAAAATTAATTTCAGTAGCCTCTGGGTGTCTTCTAAGCCTTGGTATTTCTTTTAAAAGTTCGTCCTCTAAATAGCTCATCATAGAAAGAGTTTGATTTTGGAACGGACACCAATAACTCTTCTTCACCTGCTACTAATAGACTCTTGGGTTGAACAGCCCCAAACATATCTGCTACTTCCTTAATCACTGGTGATGTGATCTGGAGTTCAATATACTCCAGCATCTCCCTACTTTTCTTCACCGGAAGTGGGAACACAGGAAGCGAGAGACACCAATGGATCATTCTTGCGTTGTCTACTGTGCTCTGTTTTTTGTTATATTTTCATTTCTACTGTTGGCTGAGGAAGGCTTTATCCCGAAAGTCCTTGTTTTTTGTCCTGTTATCTTATTCAAGCTACCAAATACCTAGTTTTGCTGTACGAAACTCGTCCTAAAATTTTAAGGGGCGTTGCTGGTGACGAATTGGCGAAAATATTAAGTTTTGAGTATTTCTGGGTTTCCGCATATTTGATTTCAAAACCATCTTTTTTAATTTAAATAAATTTCAATTAATTATTAAAACATATTAGAAAATTGTGTAAACTATTATTTTAACCCTAGAAATTGGTTAAAAATGTCATTTTTTAATGTTCTTAATTGTTACCGATTCGATTTATGTACTAAGAAACAATGTATTTGGTATCAATGATAAGCTTTATTTCTCAGATTTGTGATAAATATAGCTTTCTGTTACTTTTGAAAGTTATCGAACACATGAATCGCCCTTGAATCATGGTGAAAACTGTGTTTTTCTTACCTAATTATAGGGTCACCTCGTTTCTGACGCATCGATCTTGAACTTTGAATAAAGCATGCATTTGGATTGGTTACATATGTGGAAAATTTACCTGTGATTGGTTATCCTTTAGTGCAACTCTGTTAGCCCGAGCAGTGTTTACTCTGTGAATATGCTTTTTTCATTTGGTGTCACACCCTGGGATGGCGTCATCCGGTGCGGTCCGCAACCCCCGCACCCCCTAGCTACGCCACTGTGTACACGCGTTGCTTATCAAATTATATGTACAATCTATACCGTTCCTGTCTGTATACAATAAAAATCTAATGTATTTCTGTAATTTATTATTAAAAAATCTAATTTATTCTATTTGTTTTAAAAATGTTTCTTAAATCATTCCGGTAAAAGTCCAAATTTATAACCATTTCAACAGAATAGGCCACATTTATAACCGTTTCAGTAGAATATTCAAAATTTATAATCGCTTCAGTAGAATATTCCAAATTTATAACCATTTCAGTAAAATAGTCCAAATTTAACAAGCGATTCAGTAGAAAACTCCATTTATAACAAGTTATTCAGTAGAATAGTTCAAATTTAACTATCGATTCAGTAGAAAAGTCCAAATTTAACAACCGTATCAATAGAAAAAGTCCAAATTTAACAACCGTATCAGTGGAATAGTCCAACATAAAACATTTCCACCTTAACCCAAACAGGCCCGGCACACCAGGAAAACCAATGCTAACAAAACCTAGAGAAATAGAAAAGGCGTAGCAAAATGTCAATATAACGTAGGAATAAAATCAATCTGCTTTAAATCAGTTGGAACTATTTTCTTTGCTCATTGAAATAACGTGATGATCTTCAACTGCAGGACTTTCCTCTCCGCAGACTTTTGCCTGAAACACAGCTGATTGGCTTTCATTTATTGTTTTGTTCAGCATCGACTAATTGATCAATTGTCATCACTTCCAGTAGAGTTGATGGCATTTATGATTCGGCTGGACTCATCCCAGCAAAGGAATTTGGGTTAAAAAATTGAATACTTTTTTTGTAAGGTAAGTTATCATATACAGCCGTTTCATTTGAGGCACTAGCACATTAGTTTAATATGAGGCTACCCGCACCGGGTTTGGGAGAGAGCGGCTTACGGACGTAAATCTACACTTCCCTTAAGAAATCAAAGACCCTCGGCGTCGTGACGGGAAAATGCCGTGCGACCTCGCCCACTTTTTGGATAATGATTGAGGATAACAGTGTCGGTGATGTTCCTACGTGCCGCTTCGCATCCAGACTCGAAAATTATGCTTGAAAGGCAGGTAATCGTAAGAAAAGTGCGTCCTTCGGCCAATATCTTTATTAATACATTATTCTTTAGCTTGGATTGTCCATAATTTATTGAAAACTTGGTGAGTTACAGCATCGTCTTAAGTCCCGTAGAATATAAAGATTGTTTACATGTCTTTTGGGTCTCTTTTTCTTTTAGCTTACATTTTTTAAAAATATAATTTTAATTATTTTTTTAAAATAGTATAATTTATTAGTGTCATTCAATATATTCCTTCTGTAGAATATTGTCTGAACTTTGTTATGTACAAATGTGGCAAACTTAACAATAAATGACTGGTGGGAAAATAACGGATAATAATTGACTAGCTATGTATGTATGGATGTATCGCTGTGTTCATTCAATGGGCGCGCAAAATAGAATTTCCCATAAAAATTAGCCCTAATTGCGGGTTTCTTGAATGCATGTAATGTCCAGTAATTTTAGCAGACAGGAAGTTCGCACATGACCAATCATCATCTACGGCGGGCTTTGTGTCAAGTATGGAAGAGACTTTTTATAGAGAGTTTGTTTACATAATATTTCTCGTGCGTGCCCTCTGATTGACCCCGCATGAGATGCTGTGTTCACAAAGGGGGTGTGTTTTAGGCCTTTGATGTATTCTTGTTTATGCCACCAACCACTAAAAATAATTAATCTGTTCAAAATAGTATTTTGTAGAATAAATCTGAGTATTCTAGAAATGCCTTGTAGCTGATCGAAGGCAGGGCTTATGCGTCGGTAGACCCACCTATATAAGGGATTGAAAGGCACGGACGAGGACGGAGATTCAGATAGATTTTCTTAACATTACGAGACGTGTTTTATTCTTTGTGTATTTGTGAGCTTATATGTGCTTATTTCGCATTATTCATTGGCACATTATTCTAACTGTGTTAACTGTGTACCGGTACAAGATCTACCATACTGTAAGTTGAAGATAGTAATTATATTTTTCTTTTCTTTTGTAATTATCTTAAGACATAATAAATTTTAATTAATTGTAACAAGAAACTGTTTTGGGTCGTATCTTTAATATTGTTGATTCCATGGTATCGTCCTTTGTTGGGCACTGTTTACAACGAGCCAATTAAAATTAAAATAGGAGATTAATTTCTCCCAATACAAGTCAGTGCGTAACAGAGACATTGTATCACCACCAAACTGTGTCAAGAAAAATGTAACAATATAAAATTAAAACTTTTTATTAGAATTGCCATGACAGAGTACATATAAAAATATTTGTTGGATTACATGACAGAAAAGGGCTTGATTTTTTTTTACAAACAATGGATGGTTAAAATAGATTTTAAAAGCAATGATGTTTAAAAATGGATTTATTTTTTTTTTACTAGCAATAGGTGGTTAATATGGATTTGACAAGAAATGAAGTGTTAAAATGGATTTTACAAGAGTGGATCGTTAAAATGGATTTTGTAACAATTGAATTGACACGAAATGAGGTAAACATGCAATAGAATTTACGAAAATATATTTTTTTTAAAGTAGCGTTTATGAAAGAAGTGTAGAATAATGATTGCATGTTGTGTTTATTATCTGACGCATCAGACCGTACGATGTGGTAGTGTTTAACATAATGTTATAAAACATGATAAATTGTGTAAGCATAATGTTAAAGAACATGATAAATTGTGTAAACATAATGTTAAAGAACATGATAAATTGTGTAAACATAACGTTATAGAACATGATATATTGTGTAAACATAATGTTATGGAACATGATAAATTGCTTGACATGCATGGGTGATTAGAATGTCAATTATCACAGGCAAATATTTCATAACTCCATAACAAGAGAGAAATTTATGGTGTCAAGTTGGTCCACAACAATAACGAAAGCTGACTCGCTCTCTGAGATTCAATCAATGGCTGGCTATCTGAGATTCAATCAATGGCTGGCTATCTGAGATTCAATCAATGGCTGGCTATCTGAGATTCAATCAATGGCTGGCTATCTGAGATTCACTGAATGGCTCGCTGTGAGAGATTCAATAAATGGTTCGCTATCAGAGATTCAATGAGTGGCTCGCTTTTAGAGATTCACTGAATTACTCGCTATCAGAGATTCACTGAATTTCTCGCTATCTGAGATTCACTGAATGACTCGATTTCTTTCAAGTCAGAGGTCCACGGGATATTATAAAGCGAAATCAAGTCAAAAAATCATACTAACCTTGTTAGTACACGAAATGGTTATTACAAAAAAAAAAGTGATTTTAATCATACAAATAATGCATTTGAAACAATATTTTTTTTACATTTATTTGAAATGCTGAGCACGAGAGTGATTAAAATAATAGAGAGAAGTTATACAAACATCGCTACTCATTCAGCAGTGATTATTTCAGAATTTTTTCCGCAGGAGGTTGGGGGGGGGGGCACTTCAGATTTTTCGGGGAAGGGGGGCATTGCCACCAGTGCCAGTTGATTCATTGTTGGACATATTTCTGCTCCGGGGGCACTTGGCTTTCCCCGGGGGGAGGGGGGCGGCCCGCTGAAGATATAGCTGAAAGAAACCCTGTCATTCAGCCCTGTCCAACTGCTCCCACCCTAACTACTCTCACCCAAACTGCTTCTACCCTAACTGCTCCCACCCTCCCACCCTAACTGCTCCCACCCAGCCATTTGCCAGATTTTGTGATTCACGGCATTTCCCAGTGAGCTCAGTGATTTAATTTCCTTAATTTCCCCTTGTTGTTCACAGAGCACAAGTGCTCAGATGTTAGGGTACACGTGAATGAGTTGGATCAGAGGGTTTGAAATAGTTCAAAATGAGCTGCATTCTGGCCGGGGTATTTTCACATTTATCAAATACACACCCGCATTACGTCAGATCTAAAAATAACTTAATGACGTGTTAGCTTTACGACAAATTCTCATAAAGACATACTTTGAGTTCTTCCATAATGAATTTCAAGTATCCTTACAATTTTATACACAATTATTTAATTTACTTATCGAAATGATTGAATGCGACATACATTGTCAGATCGGTCTCAATGTTAGTGCCAGGAAATACTTAGTAACAGAGGGTCTTATGCGCTAGTGTACATGCACATACTGACGTATACAAATGTTTATAAAACCACATATAACATAGGTATTCAATAACGAAAAGAAAAAAATGCAAAAATGAACTTCATTTTAAATGAACAAATTTTAGGGTTGGGCTTAGTTATAAAACACCTTTGGTATTTAGTGGAGATGTGCACATAATGCAATGTTTAAAACATCTTTGGTATTTAGTGGAGATGTGTACACAGTGCATGTTTCAAAACACCTTTGGTATTTAGTGGAGATGTGCACATAATGCAATGTTTAAAACATCTTTGGTATTTAGTGGAGATGTGTACACAGTGGATGTTTCAAAACATCTTTGGTATTTAGTGGAGATGTGCACATAATGCAATGTTTAAAACATCTTTGGTATGTAGAGGAGATGTGTACACAGTGGAGATGTCCATACTGCACCGTACAAAAAATTTATCACAGATTCTTTGTCAACGAGACGCTCTATTTAAAATGATGATAATACATGACGTCCAACCACACAACCACACAACCACTTAAGCATAACATCTACGCATATCATTAATACACAGCCACACACTTTTCTCAGACTAAGTAATGCATTCATACACATTAGTGGTACGTACTTCTGTTTTAAATTAAATTTAAAACAAAAATTATTAAAATCTCAGATTGTCCCGTTCTTTTTAAATGCAAGTTTGGTTTTTGCAAAACTTTGAAGAGAGCTAATAAGTCATGGAAATATAATGATAACAAGGGTATACTTTGAAAAAAAATGATCAATATCATGCAGGGGCATCCAATATGCCAGGCGAGTTTGCAAACTTAAAACCGCCCCCCCCCCCGGCCAGTGGTTGTTAAAATGTCGTGCACAAAACGTATCAGACCCAATAAGTGTCCTTTTTTTTTTATTTTTTATTTGGGCCCCTTAAGACTTGGAGAAGACTTTTTTTTTCGTAATCTGGCTAGAGGTTCTTGCAAATGTCGTTATTCGCATGTATAAAAATCGAGACCCTTTAACTTATACCGTTAAAGATTCTCATGTTTTGAACAGAATTTTTGTGCAGCTTAACAAAGTAACGATCTAATCGTTATTCAACAATTGATCCACTTTTTGCCGTGCAAACAATTTTAGAACCACTGATTGCTTTGGGGGGGGGGGGGCGGGGGGGAGCACAACTTTTCCTTGATTCTAGCGCCATGTCAACAGGGAGCGGGTCGAATATCGTGATACAGGGATATTCAGGAAAGTCAATGTCCATTCCAAAGACACTATATAATATGTTCGTCAAATAAATTGTCGCCAACGTGCCATTTAAAGAGGACAATGACAGACAAGAGATTGCCATTGAAAACAATGTTTTAAAATATATAAATAATGGGATGGTAAAAAGAACTGCTAGTGATGTAGAATTTATAAATATGATAAAAAAACATATTGAGCATATTTAAGTCAAATCTGGGTTATTTACACGCCTGGCATCAAGTGACACAGTTTAGGTTAATCGTTGACGATAGTAATAATAATTTACAGAAATCTGGTCGCAAGATCTGAAGTACTGAATTGAACATGTACTGGTGGTTGAAAAAAAATATTGGATTGTGGATGGAATAAGTAGTGGATTAAACAAGTAGTAGATTGAAAAATTAGTTGATTAATCAAGTAGTGGATTGAAAAAGGGGCGAAGTGAACAAGTAGTGGATTGAAAAAGGGGCGAATTGAACAAGTAGTGGATTGAAAAAGGGGCGAATTGAACAAGTAGTGGATTGAAAAGGGGCGAATTGAACAAGTAGTGGATTGAAAAGGGGTGAATTGAACAAGTAGTGGATTGAAAAGGGGCGAATTGAACAAGTAGTGGATAAATAAATGGAAATGACTCACTGATATCCAACCATAAATAACTATAGTAGACGTCACAAGGAAAGGAACATACATCTCGGCAGCCAACAGAAATAATTATCTTGGTGAAGAAACATTAGAGAAGGGAGAAAACAACTGAAGGTTAACATTTTAGCAAAGTGGATCTGGCATGGAAGGTATGGTTTCTTTATTTGGGAATTTGCCAGACTAAAAAATATAATTTTTTGCTTTGTTTGGCTAGTTTAATTCATTTCAGGCTTTAAAAGTAAATTTAATGCACTTTTCAAAATGTGCAATTTGCTTTGTTTTTCATACCCAGACTTCTAACGCTAGACTTCTGATACTAGATTTCTGATACTAGATTTCTGATACTAGACTTCTGATACCAGACTTCTGATACTAGACTTCTGATACTAGACTTCTGATACTAGACTTCTAGAGTTCAGATTATAGACTTAAGATACATAGACTTTTAGTAGACGTATCTACTATTGGACTTCTAATACTTAGACTTCTAATACCAGACTTCTAATACTGATGTGTACACTTGTGTGTTTAAAATTGATATTATAAACAGAATGGTTCGTTCACTGACATAAGATAGACAGAAGTTTGTCGGCTACCTCACGTCTGTACTCCTCTTTAACATGAGGAACATCAATGATGTTACTGTCATGTGGCTCTGATGCCATCTTGTTGACCTGCTCCACACCCACGTGTTTACCCAGGGTGACCACGACGATGTGGACAAAGTCTCTCTTCAGACGGATAGCCTCGATGTTAGCCCCCCAGATGTTGTTCAGAGTTGAATCCAAAAAAAGAACCACGATTCTCTTATGGCCGTTGTGGTCCCACCTCGGGAAGTATCGATTCCTTACTTTTCTAAATAGAACATCGATACCGGCCGTCTTCGACTCCGGGTCTAATTCGTTCTTGAAATCCGTTTTCGTCCACTGGTTGGTCAAGTCGATGTCCGGCAGGATGGATGAAATCTCCCGTGGTGCATCACGGACGACCCCAAAACGGAGCTTTTCACTGTTGAGACTCCTGGCTTCCGTTACTCCGGAGATGACGTTGATCACGAAGTTGTGATGTTGTCGGTTGAGGGCCGTTTTGTCATAAATAAATATGGCGTCTGTCGGAACTTTTGGACAAATGGGCTCTGAAAAAACAACATCAAGTTTTTTTAGGTAGCGTAGCATGCATTACATCCAGTTTTTAGGTAGCCATATATTTCATCAAATTTTTAGGTAGCCATATTATATTACATCAAGTTTTTAGGTAGCCATATATTACATTAAGCTTTTAGGTAGTCATATATTTCATCAAGTTTTTAGGTAGCCATATATTTCATCAAGTTTTTAGGTAGCCATTTATAACTCATGAAATAAATTAAATAAACTGTAATTATTATAACCCGAAATAATGTTCAAATCGACACAAAAAGGACTTTCATGACCGTATACAAAGTCCCTACTTATTGTGTTTATATCTATAAAGTAAATTAAATTTATGATGACGACGGCATACATTTACAAAGAAATAGTTTGGGTTCAACCCCCCCTCCCTCCCCCATGTCTTGTTCGAGTGTTCGGATATTTTATTAAGTACACTGACGTCATACATCTGGTATAAACAGTCCTAAATCTGAAAGGCCCGCCAGAACAAGTTGGACAAAATCAAGTCCTGTTTTTTTAAACTAGAATCTGAGGTCTTTTTCTTCCTTTTTTTAAATTCCCTTTTATAAAATGGGAATTTGTTTATATAATAAAGATAAAAAGGGAATTTGAAGTTCGAGATCATTTCCTCCTCTTTCCGACATCAATGGAGTGATGCAAAATAAATAGGATGAAAGCACATATGATTTCAACAGATGTCACTTTACTGATGTTTCCACTACAGATTCGCATATATTCGAATGTTGATCTCAACTTTTCTCTAGCAATTCTTACACTATTTTCTCTAATGGTCTTTTCTACGCTCCGTTGTAGCCTTATACAGTGAAACTTATAAATAATGTAAACTCTTGAGACCGGAGCAAAATGTGTGCTATTTGGAGGGATGGTGCTATTCACCGGCTCAGCTAGTGCATATTTATCGTTCCGCGTCGGGTTGAGTTTCCGAAAAAGCCATGGGCAGTGCTATTTGAAGGTTCGTTAATTCAAGGTTTCACCGTAGTATATTTGTCTCAATAGTCATAATCACACCACTCACAATATCGATATTTATATTATTTATACCACTCCCTATGTACTCACCAATGGCACCCTTGTCCTCAGCTGACTTCTGCGCAATGTATGTGGCAGCTGTTCAGAAATAGATAATTATTACATATTGGAGAATTTAGTTAACTGTAATGTCATGCAAAGTTTTACAATATGTTAATGAAAAAATTGTCTCTAAATCCTTTATATTAACTTCGCTTTTGTTCGTGTCTGGCAAAATCTATGCACAGCTTATTGACCCACTTCCCGTCAACCTATCGAGCTGAAACTTAGTACACAGACTCGTTTAAACAACAATACGTATTAAATTTTCAGCCTCAGCCCCAAATCTCAAAGATCAGTTGTTCATTTGTTTTCAAGGGGAAGATGAGGGAAATTCGGTGACGTTAATTTCCCAAAATAAAATTCCCGATAACAGCGCTAAATGAAATTCGATACTACAAAGCATCGCAAGTGCATACTATTGGCTTTTGTTTTTCTGAACTAGTTGTTGAAATGGACTAAGTATGCGGTGTACAAGCCAGTAAGTCTTTAGATTATGCCTAAAGTTCAAGAGCGTGAAAAAAAATGTGCAGTTGCGAGACCTGGGAAAAAAGGGGGGTGAGGGATCTAAATGGGATTCTGATAAAGTGCGTTACTTGAATGCATATTTTGTCCAATTTCCAAGTCCCTCCTCCCCCCATTTGCTCAATATCAGATTTTGTAAAGTTTTTATACGAAAAACCTTCTTTTTAAGTGTTGTTTCATTCAAATACCTTTATAATAAGTTTAAAACAGAAAATTAAGTAATTTTTTTGTCATGTGTCTGAAGCTCTGTAACCAGATCTTAATTATATATATCTTACCATCGCAAGTTTTTGCCGTCACAAGTTGTTGAATTTCTGAAAGTCCGGTAAAGTTGCTGACGTGAAAGACAAACTTGTCACTCGGTTTGGTGGCCATGTCAATCAGCTCCTGGGCGACCACTTTGTCCCCGATTCCAATGGCAAAGATCTGAATCCCCTCGGCGCGCGCGAGCTCTGCCTCGGCAATCGTTTCCGTGAGGTCGTCTGACTGACCATCGGTCAGTATGATCAGCACGTGGGCGACGTGGGGTCTCGCGTTGTCGTGACCCAGCAGCTTCCTCCTGGCGTGGCGGATGGCCATCGGGGTGTTCGTCCGGCCGATGATGTGAGGAGCCCTGTTCATCATGGTGATGATGCTGTTGGTTGTTTGCTTGTCGGATAAATCCACTAACGTGATTGGGGCGTCGCTGTAGACGACCACCCCGACCCGAGTGGCGTCTGGTCCAATGTCAAAACCTTTGATGACCTGGTCAAAGTGTTCACGTACGTATTAGGACTTTATTCTTATATGAATCCAAATAAATTTATTGTGATTTTTTCTTACCAAAATGTTCAAAATATCAATAACATGTTCACAATATCAATAGAATGTCCACAATACCAATAAAATATTGCAATGTTCACAACAACAAAACTGTCTTTCAATAGAAGTGCAATGAAGACTATGATTTTGAGTTGCAACAGCTCAGAGGGACTTTATATGAAAAACGTTAAGACTTTATATGGGCTTTTGTTTAAAAGTTCAGGAACTAAGGTTGAATAAATTTGAACCTTTAAAGTATATGAACATTTGTTTCTTAGGCTATAAAGAACAATGCTCGAATCTTTGAGAACGGAAATATTTACATAAATATGCAATAAAGGGGAGGTTTATTGATGGTGTATACCGCATTGCCAGTTCTAACTATGTGCTATTAATAAAATATGATTATTTTCATTATAATATAAGCGGAATTTAGTAGCGTATTAGGTAAGCTGTCAAAACGCATTGGAAACAAGGGAAATGATCCATTTTTTTCTAATAGTTAAGGATAAATCATTATTATCTCCCTTATCAAAGCTTTTCACACTAATTAAAGAACTCAAGAAAATGTTACACACAAACAAGGAACTCGGTATTTATAATTAAGAATAATTAATTTGTGTTTTTTTTTTCTATAAATTTTATTATTTTCAACAATTATTTTGTAATGTCAAAATGTTGGAAAGTTGCCATAATTTTTAAAGTAAACTTTATATTAAGTCAGTGGTCATGTCATGCTAAGTCAGTGTCAGTGGTCATGTCATGCTAAGTCAGTGGTTATGTCATGCTAAGTCAGTGTCAGTGGTCATGTCATGCTAAGTCAGTGGTCATGACGTCATACTAACCTCTTGAACGAATGATATCTGCTTTTTAAAGTCAGGATTCCACATGCTGCTGGAGCTGTCCATGAGAAAGACCACGTCAGCTGAGTGCTCACGGCATTCTGAAAGGATGTGAGGTGAAGATGATGAGTTACTTTGTCTCTCGCTGTTAAGTCTCATTTGACATACTATGTACACGCTTTTAAGCATTCTCTAATCTACACACAAATTAATGATATTCTATAATCTACGCATAAATTACTTTTTTTTTAAATTATCGTAAACGTATTATATTCTATAATTCACGCGCCAATAATTGTATTCTATCATTTGGATATAATTAATTATAGTCTTTAAGTTACAGACATTTAATTCTATTCTAATATTTACTCACAATTAATTATATTCTACGATCTGACGATAATGCGCTGTATTCTATGACGTATATACAACTAATTGTATTCTATAACTAACACTCAAGTTATGGGAATTTATAATGTAGACTCAAGTCACTGAGATCTATGAGCTGCATATGTTATGAGTAGAATGATATGTTCCTTTTAAAGAAACCGATAAGCACACAAAAAATTCTTTTAAACGTATTATATTCTTAAACACCATATCTCACTGGATACGAAATTCCCTGAATTTTTTTAGCCTAAACTATGCGACCGATTTCTCGGTAGAGAAGTTCGCCCAACGTTTTGCTCACATTGCAACCGATGTTAACCAGCCATCTTGTTTATCATGCAGCCTCCCCGTGACTTCTCTTCAAACGAGATTCATACTGATGCATGGTCTCAAACTCATTAAATTAACTTTTTCTCCAACAAATTAAATTTATTAAAATCGTCACTGCAAATAAATATGACCAACACGATCAAATAAATATGACCAACACGATCAAATAAATATGACCAACAGGATCAAATAAATATGACCAACAGGATCAAATAAATATGACCAACACGATCAAATAAATATGACCAACACGATCAAATCTGTCATTCGTTGAATGTGGTAACAAGTTTTTCTAAGCTTTAAAAGTTTAAATCGGACGAATCTTCCGAAAAAAAAAATACATATAATTTGATACAACCGAAATTCGTTGGAACGCGACCGCGAAGCCCCCACTGTGACCGAACTTGACTTCGCTACTTTGAACGTCTGCCCTTTGCTCGCGCAGGCCTTTCTTTTTTCTCTACCGAAGTCTAAAACATGTGCGAACAATGGATCTGCTGGGATGGTAGCCTGATGAAGATGCGGGTTGCGTGCACGGACACACAAATTACATATTTCATCAACTGATATTTAATTTAATTATTATAACTAACATTTTTTTTCCATTATGTTACTATCAAATTCTTACCTGAAGATTCCTCACCACCGATTACATCTTCATCACTCGGTTCTGAGACTGAGGAAATACAAATTAAATGTGTACCATCCTTAAATTCTATCTGAATGTGACAAAGAAGACTTTCGATGGCATTACTTAATGTGACAAAAAAAAAAAGACTTTCAAAGGCATTAATGAAAGTAACAAAGGAGACTTTCAATGGCATTACTTAATGTGACAAAGAAGACTTTCAATGACATTACTTAATGTGACAAAGAAGACTTTCAATGACATTACTTAATGTGACAAAGAAGACTTTCAATGGCATTACTTAATGTGACAAAGAAGACTTTCGATGGCATTACTGAATGTGACAAAGAAGACTTACGATGGCATTACTTAATGTGACAAAAAAAGACTTTCAATGGCATTAGTGAAAGTAACAAAGGAGACTTTCAATGACATTAATGAAAGTAACAAAGAAGGCTTTCAATGGCATTACTGAATGTAACAAAGAAGACTTTCAATGGCATTATTTTAAGTGACAAAAAAGACTTTCAATGGCATTACTGAAAGTAACAAAGAAGACTTTCAATGGCATTACTTAATGTGATAAAAACAGACTTTCAATGGCATTACTTAATGTGATAAAAACAGACTTTCAATGTCATTACTTAATGTAACAAAGAAGATGCTCAATGGCATTACTTAATGTGATCAACAGACCTCCCAATATTATATTTAGTTAAACTTCCTCAACTTACTATGGCAAGCAGCACTTTGGAGTGCCTTCTGAATGCCCAGCAATGCCCTGTACTCGTCCACCTTGAACAGGTGTTGATTTGTGGGTTGGCTGGACACAGACTCCAGGACATGTTCATAGAGGCTCACATCCTGGCCAATGAAGACGCTGAAGATTTCTATCCCTTTACTTCGTGCGTCCGAAGCTTCTACGAGTGTGGGCTTGGTGTCTTGGAAGATCCCATCCGTGATCAGAATAACTTGGTGTTTAGCCCAGGGTCTGCCCCCGTAGGACGGCTCAAACATGTGTGTGTGCACAAAGTTCAGGGCCGTGTGCGTCATGGTCATCCCCTCGAGATGACGTATTTGGCTGACCGCATACTTGAGCTTGCTTTTGTTGCTGAACTCGCTGAGTTTAATGTTGACCTCGACATCCGTGCCGACCGACACCACGCCCACTTGAATTTGGTTCTGACCAATGGTGAAGGCGTCTATGACTGCTCGAATAAACGCCAGCTGATGTTGGAACTCGTCTGGTCTGATGCTGAAGGAGGAGTCCACAACAAACACGATGTCCGCTTGGTGAGTGAAACATGCGTCACCTGGTCCAAAAAAAATGGTTTATAATTCTATCGGGAGGTCAGCTTATTTATGTTTAATGGAGAGGTAAGGGAGAGATAATGGAGAGGTAATGGAGAGATAATGAAGATTCAATGGAGAGGTAATGGAGATGTAATGGAGCGGTAATGGAGATGTAATGGAGAGGTAATGGAGAGATAATGGAGAGGCAATGGAAAGATAATGGAGAGGTAATGGAGATGTATTGGAGAGGTAATGGAGAGATAATGGAGATGCAATGTAAAGATAATGGAGAGGTAATGGAGATGTAATGGAGAGGTAATGGAGAGATAATGGAAAGGCAATGGAAAGATAATGGAGAGGTAATAGAGATGTAATGGAGAGGTAATGGAGAGATAATGGAGAGGCAATGGAAAGATAATGGAGAGGTAATGGAGATGTAATGGAGAGTTGATGGAGACGTAATTAATTTAGAGAAACAGAGATTTGATGTAGAGATAACGTAAAAATTTGGCAGGGACAGTTAGGCTTTGCGATTTATGCATTACAATGATAGTTATGACGCTTAGACTGTGTTCCATATCACTAGAAACGAATAGGGAAAGACATTTCAGGAGCCTACACATGCTTACATACGGTTACAAAGGCAAATTAGAAATCAATGTAAATGGGTTTTTGAAATACCTGTCGAATTTTTATGTTTCGACATCTTTTGTAATATTCTAAAAGCCCTTTCCTGATTGTTAAAAGATGGTATAAGATATTTGGATCCTTTGTTTTAAACTTACCAAAGGGTAGGATAATCCCGGCGAAGATAATCTGAAATGGAGTAGATTAATTTATTGATAATTGATCTCAAATCTGGGGAAGAGGTGTTACAGTTATTCTACACTACACTTAGCTTAACGATATGTAGGCTTAATGGTGAGAAATGGACATTTAATGGGGGTCAATGTTACTACGGACCTAGGGCAAAATGTGACATGTTAATGGCTACTTTAAGACTGCGTGCTTCATGAACTATAACAGTTTGAACGCACGCAGCTCGAGCAATCGGAACACACACACGTAGCAATGTCAATCTGAGCACACACAGCTGTAGCAAGCTGAACACACACAGGTAATCGGTTTTCTTTGATTGAACTTAGTGAAATTGTCGTTGCGATAGCTTTGTAAACAAACACATTTTTGGCAATTCGTACGACTTTATTATTTATTTTTTTTTTATTAGTAAAAAAACAATCTGAAACATTGTATCAGACTGGTGAAATCTAATTATCATTACGAAGTTCAATACGGTATTTCGGTTCCGATGATATCTAATTATCATTACGAAGTTCAATACGGTATTTCGGTTCCGATGATATCTAATTATCATTACGAAGTTCAATACGGTATTTCGGTTCCGATGATATCTAATTATCATTACGAAGTTCAATACGGTATTTCGGTTCCGATGATATCTAATTATCATTACGAAAGGGAAACTCTGTCTTCCGGCTCTGTTTTGTTCTAATTTTTGAGGGGTAGAAAGACGAAAATGAAACAAAAATCAAATAAAGTTAAGATATTAATTTTTCACTGTTTTGATCCACAATTTCGTAACAAAATTTAATTATTTATTACATTATAGAAAATGTTACATTGTCCTTTATTATGTAAACGTATTTTCTCTTTATTATTTAAATCGTCTACAAGACTTTAAGACAATATAGAAGTTAGAATAGTTAGTCAACCTTCGTAAATAGTGAGTTTAGAGATAATAAAATTAAGCCCCGCCAAAAAATTCGAAAATTTGAGTTGTAAACCATATTCAGTCTTTTTAGAGGTAAATTGGTATCACATTGGTTCTAGAGGTAAAATGGCATAACAGTGGTGTTATGGGTAAAATGGAAACAACTTTAGGTTCATTAATGTTTAAAGATAAATATTTATTTTTTTTTAAAAAAACGTTGTTTTTTTTTCCACTTACCAGAAGAGAGGAGAGCAAAAGTCCCTTCATGTTTACCTCTGAAAAGTCCCTTGGACGATTTTTATCTGATAGCACGGCCTGAAAGTAAACAAACACACTAATCTGTGACGTGTTCCACCAGTGCCAGACACATGCTCTGCTCTCTCAGTACCAAAGCGTGCGTGCTCAATGACGTCCTTGGCATTGTTAGTTGTAACACACCGTATTTTATTCTTCACGTTAGACAAAACGTCCAGAAGACACTGCTGGGTTGTTGAACTGAATGTAAACATTTGAAACGGTTTGTAAAGAGGGGGGGGGAATGTTGAGCTGGAATAAAGGAAGGCTAACCACGGCGAGAAGGAAAAAATGCATCATACCCAAAACAATGTCTTTTAGATGTCTTTTTGTAAACTGGGTTATTTTCTCATTGTAATAGTTGTAACACACCGTATTTTATTCTTCACGTTAGACAAAACGTCCAGAAGACACTGCTGGGTTGTTGAACTGAATGTAAACATTTGAAACGGTTTGTAAAGAGGGGGGGGGGGAATGTTGAGCTGGAATAAAGGAAGGCTAACCACGGCGAGAAGGAAAAAATGCATCATACCCAAAACAATGTCTTTTAGATGTCTTTTTGTAAACTGGGTTATTTTCTCATTGTATGATATGTCATCATTGTCTGGTGCTTGAAACGAATATCTTGGTTTTACCCTGTGGTTTTACGAAACCAAGGAGAGGGGTGGGCAGTTGGGGGATGGCGCATCAGGGACGACATGTTGAAACCGACCCCCTCTAAAACTATGCCACATTGAATTATGTTTAACAAAACAAAGTAAGGAATGTGGCTACATCACTCTTTTGGATTGTTGGGGGGGGGGGGGGGGGGTGGTATGGGGGGGGTTTTTTTTTTTTTTTTTTTTTTTTTTTTTTTTTTTTATTTTTTTTTTTTTTTTCACACTCGTATGAAGAAGCATTTCGTCAGAAATTTAACAATTTATTGTTGGGTGATGTAAAGTTTAGAATCGACTTTCAGACTCTCCGACAATCAAGTTACTAAGCTTAGGCGCCTGAGATTATCGACACATTGAATCTGTTACAAGAAGTTGTCAAACTGAAAACATGCTAACTTACACTGGCGTGAATGATCAAATGTTTAAATGCTTATCACCTAGTTAATAACACGGTGCAATACAGTATCGGGATGCTGTATGAACTGTATTACACTGACAGTCAAAAAATATTTTTTTAAATTCGACAAGCCAAAAACAGCAGCAGCAGCAACCCGAGTGGGTTGGGCTCGTTAACCTTGGATGACAACCCATCTAGGAGGAGACACACTCTGAATTCAACCCCTGTGAAGGAGTCCGTAGGTTTTATTACATGGACGAAATGAAAATTCCGGCAGCTCCTGTGCCGTGGAGCGCATTAAGAGCTAAGTGGTGCACACGAAAGCCTGGGGGCCATCCGGTGCCTCACAGTCTATCTCACAAGACTTTATAAGCAATGGCTCCATAGGGGAAGAACAATTCACAATTTATTAAAACCTTAAATTTTTTTCCGGCATGCAACATTTGCAGCCTAATTAGTCCGACACAGTCCAACACGGGATGTTCAAATAGAATTGTCGTTCGCCGGAATTGTAAAAGTATGTCAATATTTACTTGAATTAAAAAAAAAAACAACTGTTGAATATTCTTTACTAATCTGCTACAGTAGACAACTATTTTAAACCTCTGGTCGTTCATTTCCAGATTACACAAAAGAATAATATGCTGGCAGATTACACAGTATCACAGTATACCATAACACAGCATACTGAAGTAAAATATAACATAGCACATTATACAGTGTACAGTATGCTATAGCAAATTATGCAATGTTATATCTTGACCAAGCCTTGTTATAGTATCGAAATAGGAGAGGACAAGAGAGTGAGGCTGGCGAGTTGCGCAAGTCAAAGGTCACTACTTAAGTAGCATATAGCCTTGGTCATCTTCGCATGCGAATGGCGAATAATACTATCAAAAAATTACATCCACACGAAATGCATGCAGTAACTACACTGAGCTACGCAGTAAGGTACCATAGCTGCAAGCTGCTTTGTTACTTATCGGATATTCCCAGAAGAGCTACGTTACATTTTGTTGTCAAAGGCAAGGCAATTTTTTTTGTTTAAATTCAATAAAATTTAATAAATAAATGATCTTAATGCCCTTTTTTGCAGCAGCAGCGCGCCCATTTGTTAAATTATTTAAACCTGGGCGCATCTCTGAACCCTCACATGACTACACTTCTGCATGTAATAGTTATAGAACCATGAATTAAAAATGCACAAAAATCACTTTTGAATGAATGAAGTAGAAACGAACTAACACTCCAGAGAACTCGTCGCATCCCAGGCTGAGCCCATCGCAAGCGACATTCGCACGTTCAGAGTGAAGCATTTCCAGACTACTCCCACGTCTGAAATATGAGTTGTCTTTTTATAAATGGAACTTAAAGTTGAAACTTTATCCAGCGGCTTCCAGTTAAAAATCCAAACGAGCCATAAATTCTAAGAGTTATCTGCCCCCCAAGTTCAGCGGTGGGTTATCACCCCATGACTGGCTGTGATACCCTCCGCAGACGTGTGGTATGATATTAAGAAACAAATGGAAGTGGAGGGTGGGAGCTGGGGGTTGTTCTCATTCTTACCTTTTCTATTTGAGTCCTCCCTTACACACAAACACACACACAAGGGGTAATTTATGTAATCCTTCTGCTTCCTAAATTTGTAAATTTTGTTTTATCGATTTCCGTTTGAGAATGTCAGCGGCTGGGTATGTGTATGTATAAAATGTTGATATTTCAGTCATACATGCTCAGGAGGAAACAAGGCAAGAAATAAGCAAAGAAATAAACAAAGTCTCTTAAATATCAAATAGCAGATTTAAAAAAAAAAAAACACACACACACTTTCATTTCAGTCAATTTAAATATGAATTGATAAATGCCAAATGTAAAAATGTATGAATTATTGTGATATTGGGGAAATGTACCGGTAAAAAAGTAACTATCAAAGCAAAACACACACGCGCGCTTTCTTTATCTCTCGAAAATCAACTTGAAAAGACAGTTATAATAATACAAAGACAGTTATAATAATACAAAGACAGTTATAATAATGCAAAGACAGTTATAATATACAGACAGTGATTATATGATGCTTGAGTTAGTGCAAATATGTTAACAAAAGATATCACATATGATAGTCACAAGCAGAATCTTATCACGTGTCATACTTTTAATATACTGTTCTGAAAATTAATTGACTTGCCACCCCCTGTCCTGCCGTGGGCACTTGACACCTTGTTATATAACCAGGCGCTAAACGTCTGTTAAGGCCGATCTTATCACCAACTAATAAGTAGGCCGTATTTTACAAACTGGTGGGTTTTGCTTCACGCATGGAGTGTGTTATAGACGGAGGTAATAAATTATCTTGCGCCGAGATTAAGTCAAGTCGTACAGACTCAGTGAGATAGTTAACCTCAAGTTCTATAATTTACTAACTTCGTATAAGTAACAACTTTTGATAATGTTTTTAGGCTTTAAGTTTCTAATGCAAAATATAATGATTGAATTATAATGGTATTTTTTTAAGTATATATTCTAAAAAGAAATTGCTCCTAAAAAGCACAATATGTCCCCTGCCCCCGTGTGAAAAGAAAATTAAACTTACCTAGGTCTTCAGTGAGCGAAATGTTGGCGGTATGTTGTCAAACTCCAAATAATTGTCAAATAATTGTAACGGGATTCTATAGTTGCACACTATGGAACAAAGCAAAGTCTCTCTTGCAGCCAAGAAATCACTTGTTAAGATTTCAATTTGTTCCCGGCAGATACTCTCGGACCAAAGTACATGTACCTTTTTATAGCGAGGATTCCACAAGGTTGAGCCAATCGGATTTCAAGCTTTAATATCATGAATCACCCTCGCGCTGACGTCACAGCGAAGAATGCCTTCACCGAACGTAGCGATGAGTGAGATTTCCGTTTCGGCCTTCGTTGTTTTGTTTGTCAACCTTTCCCCCTCCCCCCAACCCGTTCTCTCAACCCCGACCCCTTACCCTCCCTTCAACCACCTGACCAGGAAAAAAAAAAGCCTACCGCACAGATTCAGGTAGGTCGAGGCATGGGTCCTAACCCCTGACACAAAAATTTTGGAAAGTCTCAGTGTCATTCTGTGCGCTGCTGTAACGTAAAACTGAAGACGAAGACAAAGCATTGGTGTCAGAGGTGAATCTTCTTGAAATCACACTTTCACTGGCAAACGGAAGAATGTGTTGAGCCCCATAATCTTCGCAGCAAGAACTGGCATAAAATTTGGACACATAATACCACTGCACCGTTCCAACTTTGTTTTTTTGGGGGTCAAACATGCTTCATCTTCATCATAAATAAATGCGATCTTTAATTTTGTTTATAGGATGTACAGGTTGTACCTGTGACAAACTCTGTGACCCTAAGACACCCCCCCCCCCCACAAGCCCACGTTGTCTTTTATGCAATTGTTAATTGTACTTACACGAATGATACGGAATGTGGATTGACCTAACGGGCAGACGCCATTGTTACAGTTTACAGATGTGGACGGATTTTAGTGGAAATGAGTAAAAAAAAAAAAAAAAA